AGTAGGTTACTCACTCGCATCGTCCAGAGGTGGTTGTTGTTTCCTCTGAAGGCAGGGCACCCTTGGAGCATGCGGTGATGAGGAGAGAGCCAGGTTCAGATTCACCTGGATGACCGCATGGATAATGGCTGACCTTCTTCCTGGCCCAGGCCTTTTTAAAACCTCTCTGAGCTCAGCAGCCCGGTCCAATCGAAGCTGCCAATACTGGCTACAAACCGACCAATCTACAAAGCCTCCCTGGCTACCTGGGCCCGCGCGCAGGGCCGGGCCTTTCCCCCCTGCCCAGGTGACCAGAGCATCGCCTCCCAGGCGCCAGGCTTTTGTCTGCAGACAAGGTGGGAGATCCCCGCCCTGAGGGATTCAACAGCAGCCTCTCAGGCTGGCTGAGACAGATCTCTGGAGAGGGGCACCAACGGGGCATTTCTGCCATACCAGGGAGATAAAAAAGGAAGGGATTTCCCATGGATCTGATGCCTCAAGTCAATAACCTATGTGGACATGGGGCTGGGGGATATGACTTATGAGGAAAGACTGAGGAAAGTGGACTTATTTAGTCTAGAAAAGAGGAGACTGAGAGGGGACTTAATAGAAGCCTTCAACTACCTGAAGGGAAGTTCGAAAGAGGATGGAGCTGGACTGTTCTCAGTGGCGGCAGATGCCAGGACCAGGATGCAGCCAACTCCATCTGGAAAAGGGGCATGTGGCATAGGCTGTTCAAAGCTCCCCTGGGAAACGAAGCGGACAGGGAAAACAAAGGGGACAATGACACAACTGGACCTGAAGACAGTGAGGAGGACAACAACAGGATCAGCAGCAGTGGAAGCAACAGTGACATGGACACCAACAAGGACTGTGAATGAACTGAGAAGGGAAACCCCAAATTGGGGCTGAGACTGTGTTTGGGTTAGGGAAGGGCAGAGGGTGGGTGCATGTGGGCGCAGGGGAGCAGGTGTGGTTATTGTAATGGGTGCATGGGTTTATTAAAGTGGTTTGGAAAAGAAAAGTTGCAATGGAAGTCTATGATAGAGGATTTATATATATACCTAAAAATATATATAGATATATTTTAATAATTTAAAAAGGGGAAGTTTAGGTTAGATATTAGGAAGAATTTTCTCACTAGGAGGATAGTAAAACACTGGAACAGATTACCTAGAGAGGTGGTAGAGTCTCCATCCTTGGCAGTTTTCAAAACCTGGCTTGACAAAGCCTTGGCTGGGGTGATATAGAGGGGGCTGGTCCTGCTTTGAGCAGGGGACTGGACTAGATGTGACCTCCTGAGGTCCCTTCAACCCTCATTGTCTATGATTCTGTAATACTCTTAGCTCATGGTAAAGAAAGACCAACCCCATGGCACTGTGGCTCTCTTCTTTACCAGGATCTGAACTACTAAAGTATATGGTGCAGATGGTGCAGTGGACACCCCCTTTTACTTGGCCACAAAGTGTCCATGGCCTGAGTTTGTTTAATCCCCTCTAGCCACATCTACACAGTGAGCTCACTGCACATGGCAGCAGTATTTGCAAGGAAGGCACTCTGCTCCTGTTGGGATGCCTCCTAACCCAGAAGCAGCAGTCACCACTGCACAGTACTGTGGACTGGCTGATTAATTGGCTTTTTCTCCCTGCAGTGCTAATTAACCTTCCCACCGCACCATGTGGACATGGCTACACTTGTGGGTTAAGATGCAGCACAGTGTGTCACAGCTTCACTACCTGGCATAAGATGTCTACTGAATCCCTGAAATGCCACACACCATTAATTTCTGGGCTCTCTCCAATTTTTTTGTATCCTGCAGCCCTGGACCTGGATGCAGCATTCAACGATGATCTCACTCCCAGGTTTTGTCAAGGAATCCTTGCTTCTCATGTTGGGCAGGGGACAATTCTCGTCTTGTGATATTTTACCTATAATTTTATTTACATATATTCTATGCATATATTTATCTACATATATTTTTGCTTTTCTCCTTCACTATTTCCCCAATGTGGTGGGGGTGTTTAGAGCTGGGCCCCACAGGGAAGGGAGGTAACTCCTTTGCTAACTATCTTGGGGGGATTGTTAACCCCTTTGTTAACAATCTTTGCAGCAGCGGGACATTAGCTACCACTGTTGCCCTGCTCCACCTGTGGCAGGGTAGGGTGTTAGGCCTTGTGGGTGACAAGGGCACCTGTGTAGTTTTGGTAATTGGTTAGACACGGATTTCTTTAGGATGGTTTGGATAGGGATAATCCTGCTTCTGGCAGGGGGTGGGACTACATCTGACTCCTGGAGATCCCTTCTAGCCCTACTTTGATACAAAGATGGAGTGATTCCATTTCTACTAGCAGGTTAGTTTTCTTCCACTAAAAACCCTATCACCTGCCTGTACCTAGTAGCATTTTTTTTTTACAAATTCCTGCAACCATAAAATTAAATTCCTGAAAGACAGGAAGCCTTAGAGCAGTGGGGCTGGAAGGGACCTCCCACATCTAGTCCATCCCCCTGCCTGAAGCCAACTGTATTCTTGTTCTGCCTCCTGGGTCCCTTCAAATGGACCCTGTGCATTTGTCCTGCACCAACAACTGTTTTGCTTCTTTCCTTGGCTAATTCAGCTGCCAGTGAAATTTGGATGCATTAGTGCAGAGTCAGGTCAACCTCTCCCTTAGTTTAGGATTAGATGTTCAACAAGTAATTCTGTTAGGGGGGTCTTAAGTTCCCAAAATTATATGTGGATGCTAGTGTTTTCAGCTCTGTAACAGTTATTCATTCCTGATTCCAGGTAAAATAACAGTATTTTTCCAAAGCTGCTTTTTTTTTTTTTTTTTTCCTGGGGCTACAGTACTTATCAAAAGCCTTCATTTGCTGCCCCAATGTATTGTGTTGTACTCA